TTTTCCTGGGTCTAAGCTTTAAACTTTGCCTTTATGAAATTAAGCATGAAAGATGGTGGAGATAATGGCAATTAATAGGACACTGATGTGGATAGAGGATGAAGTGACCATCTGCTGGTCCAGCTGAGTTTTATATATGCTTTAGTCAGGCCAAGGAGCTCCATGGTTGACGTGAAAGTTGGAGGTAGTTGGAGACATCAGAATTTGGAATATAACTGCCCTAAGAGTTAAGGTGATGAGGGAACAATTTTCTTTCTAGGGTCACTAGGAGAGCATGAGAGGCCTCTGCCTTTTTTATTTTATTTTATTTATTTTTTATTTTTATTTTTTTTGAGACGGAGCCTCGCTCTGTCGCCCAGGCTGGAGTGCAGTGGCCGGATCTCAGCTCACTGCAAGCTCCGCCTCCCGGATTTATGCCATTCTCCTGCCTCAGCCTCCTGAGTAGCTGGGACTACAGGCGCCCGCCACCTCGCCTGGCTAGTTTTTTGTATTTTTTTTTTTAGTAGAGACGGGGTTTCAACGTGTTAGCCAGGATGGTCTCGATCTCCTGACCTCGTGATCCGCCCGTCTCGGCCTCCCAAAGTGCTGGGATTACAGGCTTGAGCCACCGCGCCCGGCCTACTCTGCCTTTTTTATGGCTACCTGGCACACACATCTTGACTTTCTTAATTAGGTCAGACCCCCAATGTGCAGACTCTCAGTAGTATCTTGTAGCATTCCTTGGTACCACTTGTCCTTTCTTCATTTCCTTGTTTACTTTTCTTCTTTAAAAAAAAAAATTGTCTCTAGTCACACGATAAACTCCACGAAGGCAGAGCCCAAGTCTCTCTTTACTCACCATTTTATCCCCATTGCCAGGGGATTGACTGACATAGATACTTATCAAATACTTACCGAATAATGGAATATGACTGAATTGTAAACACTTAATGGATCCACTGTATGATGTAGAGGTACAGCATGACTCCCAACTTACTAATTAAGGTGGGTCTACTTTCCAAGATCCTGGCTGAAAAGGCGCTCCAGCAGCATTTGGTCTAATGGATAGTGAAGGATCCTGAAGACTACTACTCACAGAGCAATGAGGCAGAATCACTGAACAAGCACTGCCATTGTAAATCCTTTTCCCCTCCCAGGTGTTTAATTGGTGTAATCCTCATTGTCTAGTGGAATTACAGTTTGGTTTATAAATACTACCTTCTCTTGTTAGAATGTATAGTCTTCATCATCTGAGTACATAGTGATGGCTCTGCAGTTCTCAGTGTAGGCAAAGCTCCTACCTTCCCTAGTATCATTTTTTACCCACTCTACCTGGTTAATTGCTGACCAGTCACTGATAATTCTGAAAAGGCACTCTCCTTGAAGTTTCTAGTTTGTGAGGCTTCTTGGTCTGAATAAAATTTAAGTGGGGCAGATGTGGATGGAGGCCTTAAGTAAGGATCTCTCATTTTCATGGCTTTCCTAATCTGGCTACAACGCCTACTGTAGTGCTATTCTGTCAGATAACAGTGGTGTAATTTTTGACAAAGCATTTGTGCTTGACTAGATTTCTAGTGAAGTAGAAGTTTGAGAGAGAACTTGGGAGATCTTACTGTTCTTATTTCATTTGTCTATGGAACTGATTTTACAGTCAGAAATGTAAAACATGACTGAGCTTTAAGGAATTGTTTACGTTAAGGCAGGAAGGGTAGGCATGAACAAGCATTCTATTTCAGGTAGAGACTAGAGATGTAAAATTTTGGAAATAGTGGAGCCTTTGAGAAATACTGGTTTTCTTGACCAGCCTGCGAAACATAGTGAAACCCTGTCTCTACAAAAAATACAAAAATTAGCCGTGTGTGTTGCTTGCCTCAGCAGCACATATACTTTAAAAAAAAAAAGAAAAGAAAAAGAAAGCCTGGTGTGGTGGCTTCTGCCTGTAGTCCCAGACACTTGAGGGGCTGAGGTGGGAGGATCGCTTGAGCCCAGAAGGCAGAGGTTGCAGTGATCAGGCCACTACACTCCAGCTTGGGTGACAGAACAATACCCTGTCTCAAACAAACAAACAAACAAACTGGTTTTCCTAGGGTATTTCCTGGGGAGCAGGAAGAATCAAGATGTGTACAAACAGAAAAACCTTGGTGGGAGGGAGACGCGGTATTAAAGCCCTTTTTAAAAATCTGAAACTTTTACCAATACAAAAATTTATTTTTATTTTTATTTTTATTTTTTTGAGATGGAGTCTTGCTGTTGCCCAGGCTGGAGTGCAGTGGCGTGATCTCACCTCACTGCAACCTCCACCTCCCAGGTTCTAGCGATTCTCCTGCCTCAGCCTCCCAAGTAGCTAGGGTTACAGGCACTCATCACTATGCTGGGCTAATTTTTGTATTTTTAGTAGAGACAGGGTTTCTCCATGTTGGTCAGGCCGGTTTCCAACTCTCGACCTCAGGAGATCCACCCGCCTTGGCCTTCCAAAGTGCTGGGATTACAGGCGTGAGCCACCGCGCCTGGCCCCAAAATGTATTTTTATTACTTACTTCCATAATCACATGGGCTAGATCACATAACAGCATTGAAAATCCAGTGGCTAAAGACCAAAGACAAGACTAATGGCTCAGCTGGATAATGGCAAATGATATGTTGGACTTAAGTTGTTTGACTTTTTTGGCGGGGAGCTGGGGGGGCAGAGTCTTGCTCTGTTGCCCAGGCTAGAGTGCAATGGCATGATCTCAGCTCACTGCAACTTCCACTTCCCTGGTTCAAGCAGTTATCCTGCCTTACTCCGGAGTAGCTGGGATTACAGGCATGTGCCACCACGACCGGCTACTGTTTGTATTTTTAGTAGAGATGGGGTTTCACCGTATTGGCCAGGCTGGTCTTGAACTCCAGACCTCGTGATCCTCCCTCCTCGGCCTCCCAAAGTGCTGGGATTACAGGCGTGAACCACCGTGTCCAGCCTTGAAATATTTTTTTAATTCAAAAGTTTATTCACAAACTTTTTAAGTGTTTTGTTACAAATAGACTGGTAAGCTACAGAATTTTTAGGACCTTTTTTTTTTTTTTTTTTTTGGCGGGCTAGGGGGGCTGATTTCTGAGAAGCAGAGAAAAACTTGCAGAGGAGAAGCCATCTGTTACAGTAAAAGAAAGCTATTTTACTATTAGTGTCCTTCATATTAAGCAGATACAAGACCCGTTCTCATTTATTAAAAGAACTGGAGGATAGTAAGTATCAGTTTTTATTGAAGCTGTCTTTCTCCTATTGGACAATGAGTTGAGTTTACTGAGGGCCAGAATCCTTTTGCTCATATCAGGTTTGCTCCTGCCTAGCATGTAGTAGTTACTCAATATATGTTTATATATTAAATGAATAAATTGTTGACTTTATTCTTTCTGCCTCAAATATTGTCTGGTCTTATTTGTTAGGAATTCTGACCACCTTATTTTCCATAATGCCTTATATCTGGTACTCTGGGTACTCTGCAGATTCAAGGATTAGGCCATTAAGAAACTGAAAGAACCAAGTTGCATTTATTTTTTTTCAGGCTGGCTAGGGAACCATCTACTGGAGTTGAGACTATTTTTTCCTGCCCTTTTAGAGGATATTTTTTAAAGTATGAAATATTTTAAGCGAACAGAGGTTGATATAACGAACCTTTATATACATACCACCCAGCTCTGTAAGAATCTAGTAATCTGCCATGCTTGTTATTTTAAAATAAATAACACATTAAAATGCAGAGAAATGATTCTGGTCTCTTTCCTTAATAACCTCCAAGTAGCTGGGCGCGGTGGCTCACGCCTGTAATCCCAGCACTTTGGGAGGCCGAGACGGGCGGATCACGAGGTCAGGAGATCGAGACCATCCTGGCTAACACGGTGAAACCCCGTCTCTACTAAAAAATACAAAAAAAAAAAAACTAGCCGGGCGAGGTGGCGGGCGCCTGTAGTCCAGGCTACTCGGGAGGCTGAGGCAGGAGAATGGCGGGAACCCGGGAGGCGGAGCTTGCAGTGAGCTGAGATCCGGCCACAGCACTCCAGCCTGGGTGACAGAGCGAGACTCCGTCTCAAAAAAAAAAAAAAAAAAACCTCCAAGTAATCATTATGAATTTGGTATTTGTCTCTTTTTTTTTTTTTTTTGCTTTTGCAATGTACATATGTACTTACCAAAAAAAAACTATTTTGCATGCATATAACTACTTACCTGTTCTCCTGTTTTATGAAGTTTAGGTTGTTTCTAATTTTCTTTACCAAAAAAATGAGAATTTCTCTAGAGAGTTTACTGTGAAGAAAAATGGCCAGGTCATAGAGTATGCTATTTATTTATTCATTTATATGTTTCTGCCAAATTGCTCTGAAGTTCTTGTACTAATTTAAACTCTAACCACTATTGTGTGTAAGTTTGTTTTTCCACACCCCTCAGAGTTGACATTAACAGAGAAGCATGGTTTTTCAATCTGAAATGTTCTTTTAAGGTAATCTTTTCCTATCAGTCACATTAAATACCTTTTCATAGGTATTATTGTGCAAGTTTACTTTTATAAATTGAAGAGCATTATTCGCATACTTATTTGTGCTGTTAGATTTTTGTTCATTGGATATTGATAGGCATAGTTAATAAATAAACATGCTCTTTAACAAACTAACACATTGCAGACTTCTTATATATTCTTTTAGATAGCTGTTACTAATGTTTTACCCCTCATAAAACTCGAGTTCTATAAAAATATTATGAACCTTCCCATACTTGTTGGCATTTCAGAAATGGTACAACCTAATGAGCCTAAGTGTTACCAAGAATCTAGCGTAGTGAAATCTGGAGCCCGGGCCAACGTGTGTGAATTGCTCATAACATTTTTGTAAGCTATTTTTGATTAAGGGTAATTTGTCACTTAATGACCATCATTAAGTTTAATGTACCAGTAGTAGTTTATTGCTAAATGCTCAGTTTGCGTCATACTACACATTTGAAGAAAAGGGTATTTCCTGCAGTGGTGACTCTCTTCTTTTTCTCATCCCCCCAGGTTGTATCAGAGTAAGATGGACGGTAGCTTTGATTGTGATTGTGGTGAGCTGGAGCCACCTGATCACTAACAAAAGACATCTTCTGTTAACCAACAGCCGCCAGAGCTTCCTGTTGAAATAAATATATAGCAACAAAGGAAGAAAAGAAGCAAAACGGAAATAGTGCTTACCAGCACCTTAGAATGATGCTGCTCAGGACCAGTCCAACACTGAATGTATCTGCACTGTGAGGAGAATGTTCATAGAAGCCTGTTGTGTGCATATTTATTCACATTTTTGTTAAATGTTAAATCGTTTAGCACGGTAATCTGAGTGCACAGTATGTCATTTCATTCCGTTTGAGTTTCTTGTTTTCTTTAAATGTCTGCAGAGTTGCTGCCCCTTTCTTGAACTATGAGTACTGCAATCTTTTTAATTCTCAATATGAGTAGAGCTTTTTGAGCTTTAAATCTAAGGGGAACTCAACAGGCCTGTTTGGCATATGCAATGAACATCAAGAAACCATCTTGCTGTGGAAGCATAATTATTTTTCTTCTCCCTTTTTGAAAGATCTTTCCTTTTGATGCCAGTTTTCTTCCTTGTTTACACAAGTTCAATTCGAAAGGAAAAGGCAAATAGTAAGGGTTTCAAAATGGCAGAGAAGTTTGAAAGTCTCATGAACATTCATGGTTTTGATCTGGGTTCTAGGTATATGGACTTAAAACCATTGGGTTGTGGAGGCAATGGCTTGGTTTTTTCTGCTGTAGACAATGACTGTGACAAAAGAGTAGCCATCAAGAAAATTGTCCTTACTGATCCCCAGAGTGTCAAACATGCTCTACGTGAAATCAAAATTATTAGAAGACTTGACCATGATAACATTGTGAAAGTGTTTGAAATTCTTGGTCCTAGTGGAAGCCAATTAACAGACGATGTGGGCTCTCTTACGGAACTGAACAGTGTTTACATTGTTCAGGAGTACATGGAGACAGACTTGGCTAATGTGCTGGAGCAGGGCCCTTTACTGGAAGAGCATGCCAGGCTGTTCATGTATCAGCTGCTACGGGGGCTCAAGTATATTCACTCTGCAAACGTACTGCACAGAGATCTCAAACCAGCTAATCTTTTCATTAATACTGAAGACTTGGTGCTGAAGATAGGTGACTTTGGTCTTGCACGGATCATGGATCCTCATTATTCCCATAAGGTATGTAGAGAAAGCCAGCTGAGACAGACCTTTAAACTGATACGCTTAATCAGGAATAGGTACCTGCATTTTCTTTGTATATTGTGGCAGAATTTTTAATCTTATTAAACTTTACATAGTGCCTTTTTTTCTGATACAAATCTATCTTTCACAGTCTCTCTGTTTGAAATGAAGGTGGAGTGGGATAATTAAATACAAATTTCTAAAAAAAATACGGTTATTATAATGAAGTTCTAAAGTATATGGTTATTCATTATAAATGAAATTCTCCCTTAGTTATTTAAGAGTGGAATATACTTTCTTTGGGACAGAATTGTGGTAAGAGGGGATACTATTTTAACTTTTAGGTCTTTTGTTTTCGAGACAGAGTTTCACTCTGTCGTAAAGGCTGGAGTGCAGTGGTGCCATCTTGGCTCACTGCAACCTTCACCCGCTGGATTCAGTGATTCTTGTACCTCAGCCTCCCAAATAGCTGGGATTACAGGTGCGTGCCATCACGCCCAGCTAATTTGTTTGTATTTTTAGTAGAGATGGGGCCTCCCCATGTTGGCCAGGGTGGTCTTAAACTCCTAGCCTCCAGTGATCTGCCTGCCTCAGCCTCCCAAAATGCTAGGATTACAAAGGTGTGAACCATCATGCTTTGTCTTTTTTTTTTTTTTTTTTTTTAAAGTTTTTAGAGACAAGATCTTGCTGTGTTGCTCAGGCTGGCATCAAATTCCTGGGCTCAAGTGATCCTCTGGCCTCAGCCTCCTAAATAGCTGATGCTAAAGGTGCATGCCAGCACACCCAAACTTACGTCTTCTTTTGTCCCTTTGAGACTGTATTCAGTTCTGCTTTGTTTAAACTAAATTTAGCTTGAAATCTAAATTCCCATAAACAATTGGTAGTAAGTATAGCCAAAAAGATTCACAGCAACTTCCTCTTAGATAGCAAATGGTCTTCATACAAGAATTTAGTATTTTTCAAGCTGAACCTTGGTCTTTTAGTTTTGAAATGAAATCTTATGTGGGACCATGATGTTTAAAATAGAAAAGTGGAGCTGCTTTGGCTGTAAAGAACCCCTGGGAGCCCTGCTTTGTTGGCTTTTCACAGTACATGCCTAAGACAAATCTTCATATGTGTTGTTTCACATTAAGTTTGTTGTTTTTTTTTTTTTTTTTTTTTTTTTTTTGAGACCAAGTTTTGCTCTTGTTGCCCAGGCTAGAGTGCAATAGTGTGATCTCAGCTCATTGCAACCTCCACCTCCTGGGTTCAAGCAATTCTCCTGCCTCAGCCTCCCAAGTAGCTGGGATTACAGGTGCCTGCCACCATGCCCAACCCATATTAAAGTATTTTTACTTGGGCCAGGTGCAGTGGCTCACACCTGTAATCTCAGCACTTTGGGAGGCTGAGGCAGGCGGATCACCTGAGGTTGGGAGTTTGAGACCAGCCTGACAACATGGTGAAACCCCATCTCTACTAAACATACAAAATTAGCTGTGCCTGGTGGTGCATGCCTGTAATTCCAGCTACTTGGGAGGCTGAAGCAGGAGAATCCGGGAGGCAGAGGTTGCAATGAGCTGAGGTCGCGCCATTGCACTGCAGCCTGGGCAACAAGAGTGAAACTCCATCTCAAAAAAAAAAAAAACTTTGTAGAAAATGAGTTCTAGGCTGGGAGCGCGGTGGCTTCTTCCTGTAATCTCAATGCTTTAGGAGGCCAAGGCAGGAGGATCACTTGAGGCCAGGAGTTTGAGACCAACCTGGGCAACACAGACACTTTTTTTTTTTTTTCTAGAGAAAAGAGATTATTAACACTGACCACGTCCTTTTTATGTATTTACTGTATCCACAGTGAAGTATTGTGGATAGAGCACTGAACTAAGACTTATACTGTCTAAAATTGACTCCATTTCTACATCCAACTAGCTATATGACTTGAAGCAGATCCCTTAGTCTCTCGGGCATCACACCTATAAAATGGAGTTAATATCTACCATCACAATCTCCCAGGGTAGTTTTGAGGATGAAATAAGGCAATATATGTATAAGGTTTTGTAAGGTGCTTTGTAATTGTAAAGTAATTGAATAAATTGGTTATTAATAAGATTTATAGTAGAGGTCAGTAAGGAGGCTGACATTGGTTTGTAAGTAGCACCTCTGGTGCTCTTCCCTACTGTTTTGACTTGAAGCATACTTGCTCCTTGATTATCTCAAGACTTTGAGTGTAAACCAGCTCATCTGAAAAATACTTTGAATGTGTGGCCTAGAGTTAACACTATAACTAGAGTTTTACATAATTTTTTTTTTTTAAACAGGGTCTTGCTCTTGGCTCACTCCAACCTCTGTCTCCTGCGCTTCAGTGATCCTCCCAGCTCAGCCTCCCAAGTAGCTGGGACTACAGGCATGTGCTACCATGCCAGGCTAATTTTTGTATTTTTAGTAGAGATGGGGTTTTAGCATGTTGCCCAGGCTGGTCTCAAACTCCTGGCCTCAAGTGATCCACCCACCTCGGCCTCCCGAAGTGCTGGGGTTAAAGACTAAAGTGTTTTTTGTTTTTTTTTTTTTGGGACAGTTTCGCTCTTGTTGCCCAGGCTGGAGTGCAGTGGTGCGATCTCGGCTCACCGCAACCTCTGCCTCCCGGGTTCAAGCGATTCTCCTGGTTCAGCCTCCTGAGTAACTGGGATTACAGGCATGCACCAGCACACCTGGCTAATTTTGTATTTTTAGTAGAGACGGGGTTTCTCCATGTTGGTCATACTGGCCCCGAACTCCCGACCTCAGGTGATCCGCCCAGCTCAGTTTTCCAAAATGCTGGGATTACAGGCATGAGCTACCACGCTCGGCAGATTAAGGATTCTTTAATCAAGTTTTAAGTACTGTTTTTTAGCTAAAGTAAAAAAAATGTTTTTTGTTTCTTTCGTAGGGTCATCTTTCTGAAGGATTGGTTACTAAATGGTACAGATCTCCACGTCTTTTACTTTCTCCTAATAATTATACTAAAGCCATTGACATGTGGGCTGCAGGCTGCATCTTTGCTGAAATGCTGACTGGTAAAACCCTTTTTGCAGGTTAGTATTTTGTGGGGGGAAAAATTTTCCCAAAGAGAAGTAATTTTGCATTTATCTCTGAAGCAAGATTCATATAAGGTTTAAAATAATTAGTTGTGATCTAGAATACTAAAAATGAACAGATAAATTGGCGTTTTTATTCAAAAAATTGAGAAAACTTATTCACATTCACTAAATTGGTCACTTCATAAATTATCAGAACTCTAGTGTTTAAATATAATTTTATATTTTGTGGACCCATAATAGTTGTTGGTAATCTGTGTTGATACTTGAGTTGCATACTTCTGTCAGTATCATCACTTCCTGGTGAAAATTTTAAGCCATTGTTGAAAATCCAACAAATTTTTCTTGGTCTCCTCCCCCTATAAACAACCAAACAAGTAATTTTTTGTTAAGTTTGGTGCTATTTAGAAGTCTAAAGAAGTGTGTGAGAGAGGACCTTGTCAAGATGAGAAGAGATGAATAATCCATGAAAAATGTCTTGTGTCATAAAGCAAAGCATACATCTGTATAAAATTATTTAGTATAGGCTAGAGCTATAAACTTGGAGAAGCTATACATCAGTGATTGCTGGAATGGAAGGCATTATGGAGTCATAATAGTGAAGAATTTTAATTGGGGAAGGGAGAAAATATGTTATTTAAGGGTACCTATATAAATAAAAGTATAATCCTGATACATTCATGAATCTGAGATTCATGCAAGTTGTCAAATAATAATAAACATATTTATGACTACTTAAGATGGGGTCAGATAAGAAAGTATTTAGAAAGTAGGTAGAGGACTTTCCATATGGAAAAGTAAGGAATAGTAGGGGTACTGAAGATTTTCTAGTTGGGGAAGTGGTGTGATAGTGATTAAGGCCTTTTTTTGTGTTTTGAGATTACTTTTCCCCCCTCTATACCCTTTTTTGTTGTTGTTGAGATGGAATCTCGCTCTGTCACTCAGGCTGGAGTGCAGTGGTGCGATCTTTGTTCACTGCAAGCTCCGCCTCCCAGGTTCACGCCATTCTCCTGCCTCAGCCTCCCGAGCAGCTGGGACTACAGGCGCCCGCCACCATGCCCGGCTAATTTTTTGTATTTTCAGTAGAGACGAGGTTTCACCGTGTTAGCCAGGATGGTCTCTGTCTTCTGACCTCGTGATCCGCCCTCCTCGGCCTCCCAAAGTGCTGGGATTACAGGCGTGAGCCACCGCACCCTGTCCTCTATACATACCATTTTTAGAGTTGTTCCCTCCGACCCCCAGACTGTGCTAAGAGCAGAAGGAAAGGAGAGAGCCTATTTACATAAGAAAGATTAGTGTACATAGGAGAGCACTGGTGAAGAAAGGACAGCATGCATAAATGTCTTTTAAGTATGTTAATGCCAGTACTTAGTTTATATAAAAGCCAGCCCTTTATAATTTTTTTTTTTTTTTTTTTTTTTTTTTTTTTTGCGACGGAGTCTCACTCTGTCGCCCAGGCTGGAGTGCAGTGGCCGGATCTCAGCTCACTGCAAGCTCCGCCTCCCGGGTTTACGCCGTTCTCCTGCCTCAACCTCCCCAGTAGCTGGGACTACAGGCGCCCACCACCTTGCCCGGCTAGTTTTTTTTTGTATTTTTTAGTAGAGACGGGGTTTCACTGTGTTAGCCAGGATGGTCTCGATCTCCTGACCTCGTGATCCGCCCGTCTCGGCCTCCCAAAGTGCTGGGATTACAGGCTTGAGCCACCGCGCCCGGCCTATAATTTTTTTCTATTTATCTAAAATTTCTGGCTGGGCACAGTGGCTCATGCATGTAATCCCAGCACTTTGGGAGGCTGCGGCGGGCAGATTACTTGAGGTACGGAGTTCAAGACCAGCCTGGCCAACATGGTGAAACCCCGTCTCTACTAAAAATACAGAAATTAGCCGGGCATGGTGGCACACGCCTGTAATCCCAGCTTCTGGGTAGGCTGAGGCACAATAATCACTTGAACCTGGGAAGTGGAGGTTGCAGTGAGCCGGAATCAAGCCATTGCATTCCAGCCTGGGCAACAGAGACTGTCTCAAAAAAAAAAAAAAAAATCTAAGATGTATGCTAGTTTTCTAAATTGAAATTCGGAGGGATTCCTGGAAACTAAATTATTAAATGGATTGATTTTTGCTTAGGAACAATACTGTGATTAGAGGTTCTGTTCCTGATATCAAGTGCCTTCCAGCATATATAAACAATTCTGTATTGTTTGTTGCAGTGTCACAAATTACTCCAAAACTTAGTAGCTTAAACAACAAACATTTATTACCATTTTACAGTTTCTGTGTGTCAGAATGTGGGAGTGGTTTAGCTAGGTGGTTCTAGCTCAGGTTTTCTCAGTCAGGATGTTGGTAAGGACAGCAGTTACCTGAAGGCTTGACCAAGGCAGGAGGATCCACTTCTAGATAGCTTACTTACATGACAGTTACCAGGAGGCTTCGGTTCCTCACCATGTGGGCATCTCCTTAGGATTGCTTGAGTGTCTTCATAATATGGTGGCTGGCTTCCTCTAGAACTAATGATCCAAAAGACAGCAAGGAGATAGCCAGTATATCTTATTTTAAAAAGTTGTATTGTTATATAATTCACATACTATACAATTTATTTAAATTATACAGTTCCATATCTTTTAGTATATTTACAGAGTTATATACTCTGTAAATAATACAATCTAATTTTGGAACACTGTCTTGGCTCCTAAAAGATCCTGCAAATCATTAGCAGTCACTTCTCATTTCCTCTTTCCCCCAACCCCTGGCATCCACTAATCTACTTTGTGTCTCTATGGATTTGCCTACTCTGGTTGTTTCAGATAACATTTGGACTTTGGGACAGGCTTCTTTCATGTAGCAATATTTTGGAGGTTTACCCATGTAGTGGCATATATTAGTACTTTTTTCCTTTTTATGGGCAAATAGTATTCTGCTCTATGAATATACCACATGCTATTTATCCATTCCTCAGTTGATGGACATTTGGGTTTTCACTTCTTCATTATGAATTATGCTGTTGTGAATATTTGTGTACAAGTTTTTGTGTGAAAATGTTTTCAGTTCTCTTAGGTATATATACCTAGGAGTGGAATTGCTGGGTCGTGTGATAACTGTTTAACTTTTTGAAGAACAGTTTCCCAGCACAGCTGTACCATTTTACATTCCCACCAGCAATGCATGAGAGTTAAATTTTATCTTTTTGAGTATAGCCATCCATCGGGTATGAAGTAGTATCTCATTGTGGTTTGTTTTTTCTTTTTTCGAGATGGAGTCTCGCTTTGTTGTCTAGGCTGTAGTACAGTGGTGCAATCTTGGCTCACTGCAACCTCCGCCTCCCAGGTTCAAACAGTTCTGCCTTCAGCCTCCCGGGTAGCTGGGATTACAAAGGCATGCGCCACCATGCCCACCTAATTTTTGTAGTTTTAGTAGAGATGGGGTTTCACAGTGTTGGCCAGGCTGGTCCCTAACTCCTAACCTCAAGTGATCTGCCCACCTTGGCCTCTCAAAGTGCAGGGATTACAGGCAGGAGCCATTGCACCAGGCCTCATTGAGGTTTTGATTTGCATTTCCCTACTAATGGATGTTGAATGTCTGTACAGATCTATTGCCTATTTTTTAAATTGGGTTGTCTTTTTATTGTTGAGTTGTAAGAATTCTTTACATAATTCTGAATACAAATCTTTTGTGATTTACATGTTTTTCTTCTATTCTGCAGTTTCCTTTCCTTTCTCTATGTCTTTTGAAACAGGTTGTTGTTGTTGTTGTTTTTTTTTTTTTTTTTTTTTTGGAGACGGAGTCTCGCGCACTCGCCCAGGCTGTAGTACAGTGGCACAATCTTGGCTCACTGCAGCCTCTCCCTCTTGGGTTTAAGCGATTCTGCTCCCTCAGCCTCCTGAGTAGCTGGCATCACAGGCGCGCACCACCATGCCCAGCTGATTTTTGTATTTTTAGTAGAGACAGGGTTTCACCATGTTGGTCAGGCTGGTCTCGAACTCCTGACCTCATGATCCACTCGCCTCGGCCTCCCAAAGTGCTGGGATTACAGGCATCAGCCACTGTGCCAGGCCTGAAACAAGATTCTAATTCTGAAGTCCAATTATCTTTTTCTTTTGTCCCTTTTGCTTTTGGTATCATATCTGAGGAATAATTGCCTGACCCAAGGTCATGGTTGTTTTCTCCTGTGTTGTCTTCTGAGAGTTTTATAGGATTAACTTTTACAGCTGGGTGCGGTGGCTTACACCTGTAATCCTAGCACTTTGGGATGCAGAGGAGAGTGGATCACCTGAGGTCAGGAGTTCGAGAACACCCTGGCCAATGTGGTGAAACCCTGTCTCTACTAAAAATACAAAAATTAGCTGGGCGTGGTGATGCGCACCTGTAATCCCAGCTACTCGGAAGGCTGAGGCAGGAGAATTGCTTGAACCTGGGAGGCAGAGGTTGCAGTGAGCCAAGATCGTGCCACTGCACTCGAGCCTGGACAACAGAGCAAGACTCTGTATTCGGTGGGGGAAGGAAGAAAAAGGGGGATTAACTCTTACACATTGGACGTCCATTTGTCCTGGCACCATTTGTTGAAAAGATTCTTTCCCCATTGAATTATCTTGACACTTTCATCAAAAATCAGTTGACCACACATGTAAAATATCTTTTTGTGACCAAGTCTCAAAAGTTACATACTGTCAACTTTAGCTTTATTTTGTGTGTTAGAAGTGAGTCACTAAGTACACTTCATGGTCAATGGGAGCAGAGTTCAGTTCCACCCTTTAAAGGGAGGAGTATCAAAATAATTTTTGGACCGTTTTTTCATTTTTGACCTTCTCGAATGGATTAAGTGGATACACACACACACACACACATATGTACATACGTATGTACATACGTACATACGTATAAAATTATTATTTTTTTTCCGAGATGGAATCTTGCTCTTGTCACCCAGGCTAGAGTACAATGGTGCGATCTTGGCCCACTGCAACCTCCACCTCCCGGGTTCAAATGACTCTCCTGCCTCAGCCTCTCAAGTAACTGGGATTACAGGTGTCTGCCATCATACCCAGCTAAATTTTTTTACCCTTTTGGCCTGGCTGGTCTCAAACTCCTGACCTCAGGTGATCTGCCTGCATTGGCCCCCCACAGTGCTGGGATTACAGGCAGGAGCCACTGTGCCTGGCCAGGTGGACACATTTTAAAGCCACCACAGTAACAAGTCAGAAAAACAAGCCAGGTATGGTGACTCATACATGTAATCCCAGCACTTTTGGAGGCTGAGACCAGAGGATCAGTTGAGCCCAGGAGTTCGAGACCTACCCTGGGCAACATAGTGAGACCCTGTCTCGACAAAAAAACAAAAATGTAGCTGGGCATGGTGGCACACACATGTGGTCCCAGCTATTCAAGGGGCTTAGGTGGGAGGATTGCTTCAGCCTGGCAGGTCAAGGCTACAGTGAGCTGTGATCATGCCACTTACTCCAGCCTGAGCAACAGAGCAAGACTTTGTCTCAGAACAAAACCAAATTTAAGTCTATATAAGGAAAAATCATTTGGTCATGCTCCAAGTCATAGAAATGAGGTCAGTGCCTACTGCTGCTGCATGGATTATACAAAGGTTTTTTGTGTGTGTGTGTGGTTTTTTTTTTTTTTGAGAGGGAGTCTCGCTCTGTCATACTAGGCTGGAGTGCGCTTATGTGAGCTCAGCTAACTCCTCCTCCCAGGTTCAAGCAATTCTCCTGTCTCAGCCTCCCGAGTAGCTGGGACTACAGGTGCACGCCCCCAGGCCCAGCTAAGTTTTGAAATTTTAGTAGAGACAGGATTTCACCATATTGGTCAGGCTGGTCTTGAACTCCTGCTCAGGTGATCCACCTGCCTCAGCCTTCCAAAGTGCTGGGATTACAGGTGTAAACCACTGCTCTCAGCTGTATTTATGTATTTTTAAATGTTTGTTTTTAAACGTTCAGTGCACATTCAGACATTAAGTATAGGAATAAAAATAATTGGATTTGTTTTAAAACTCTTTAAGTAGCATAGTTTTTACATTTAATAGGAATAGTTTGTGAAATGATTAGAAAGATCTAGGTTGTAGTTTTTTTCTGGTTGCTAGATGCTTCATTGATTTTTGTCAGTGAACTATTAGATAAAAACATGAAGGGAGATCTGAGTGGTTATTAGGTATAAGGTGCAAATGAACAGAGCAACAAAAGGTAAGGACCAAGCATTCATTGGAAATCAGTGTATTTTTAGCCTGTAGAAAGTGTTATAGTCTTATTTTTTGGTACATTTCTCTCGTGTGTCCAGATTGTCTCTCTGTAGGTGTTCCTGTCCCAGGTTAACACTTCTACTTGGGCAGTAGGTGTTTTTCCTCTTTCCTGCTTAGCACTTCTATTCCTCGCATCTTCACTTTACCCCTTCTGCTGGATCGTTTTTATCAGTATTCATTCAAACATTGATAAAATTTTTCCAGTCTTACAAGAGAATCTCTGTCCTTACCCCGCAGTCCCTCAGCTACTGCCATATACTACTGTACTTTTTGAATGTAAAACTTCTCAAAAGATGTGTGCATCCTTGCTGCTCTTAATTCCTCTGCTTACATTCCGTCTTTCACCCTGTCCAATCAGGCTTGGTCCTCCACCAAAAACCACTCTCATCGAGGTCACCGGTGATCTCCATAATGCTAAATCCCTTATCAATTTTAAGTCCTTATTTTGAACCATCTCCAGCATTTGTTACAATTTATCTTCCCCTCTTCAGGTGCTTTTTCAGCTGTCTTTGGGCATGCCACTCTTCAGTTCTTCCCTGGCTTCTTTCCAGTCACCCTTGCCAGTTCTTCTCTTTTGCCTCATGTTGGAAGTATCCCAGATTCAGTCCTTGGGCTCCCTGCTTCTCTAGTTTCACTTAGTCCCTGGGTAATCTCATTCTTTTTCATTCCTTTAAGAATTATCTGAGGCCGGGCGCGGTGGCTCAAGCCTGTAATCCCAGCACTTTGGGAGGCCGAGACGGGCGGATCATGAGGTCAGGAGATCGAGACCATCCTGGCTAACACGGTGAAACCCCATCTCTACTAAAAATACAAAAAACTAGCCGGGCGAGGTGGCGGGTGCCTGTAGTCCCAGCTACTCGGGAGGCTGAGGCAGGAGAATGGCGTAAACCCGGGAGGCGGAGCTTGCAGTGAGCTGAGATCCGGCCACTGCACTCCAGCCTGGGCGCAAAGCGAGACTCCATCTCAAAAAAAAAAAAAGAATTATCTATATCTGATGATGACTTCTGAATGTATATCTTCAGCCCTGACCTCTTGTCTGAATTCCAGGTTCCTTAACTCAGTATCTCCACTCAAATGTTTAATAACAAAAGTTAACCTACCCAGAACTGGGCCTCTGATATTTCTTCCTCATACTTTGTTTTTACTATCTTCCTCATGTTAGCAAACCAGTACCTCCATTTTCCAGTTGCTTAGACAAAAATCTTGTCACTGTCCTTCACTTCTGTTAGTCTGTTAGCACAGATCTGTGGGCTCTTACTTCAAACCATATCCAGACTCTTAACAGCTTGTTACGGCCAGGCGCGGTGGCTCAAGCCTGTAATCCCAGCACTTTGGGAGGCCGAGACGGGCGGATCACAAGGTCAGGAGATTGAGACCATCCTGGTTAACACAGTGAAACCCCGTCTCTACTAAAAAAAAATACAAAAAACTAGCCGGGCGAGGTGGCAGGCGCCTGTAGTCCCAGCTACTCGGGAGGCTGAGCCAGGAGAATGGCGTAAACCCGGGAGGCGGAGCTTGCAGTGAGCTGATACCTGGCCACTGCACTCCAGCCTGGGTGACAGAGCTAGACTCCGTCTCAAAAAAAAAAAAAAAAAAAAAGTAAAACAGCTTGTTATTATCACTCTTACTATCCCTCCCCAAGTCCAGTCAGCCATTATGTCTCTCCTGTTAGAAGGACCTTCTCTTTCCTGCTTCAGTATGTGCTGTCTTTAGTTACCACATCACAGCCAGAGTGATCCTGTTGAAAGATAAGGTAGATCATGTCGTATCTCTGCTCAAACTGTATGATGGCTTTCCATCAAACTCAGGGTAAAGCTGACCCTTTGTTCTAGTACCACTCTGACTTCATCTCCCACTGTGTGCTCCAAGCTACTCTACTTTTGCTAGGCTTATCTAATTGTTGTTTCTTGGACATACCAACCTGCCTGTCTCCTCTGGGCTTCTCTCCATCTTCCTAGAACTCCTTTCTTTCTTCCATATGAATGTTTGGTGTATTCCCCACTTCTTTAATTTTCCACTTCTTAGTGAGGCTTGCCTTTGTCTCAAAACAAAACAAAAACCAAGTCTCATTCTGTTGCCCAAGCTAGAGTGCAGTGACATGATCTTGGCTTACTGCAACCTCCTCCAGGGTTCAAGCAGTTCTTGTGCTTCAGGCTCCCAAGTAGCTGGGACTATAGGCGTGCGCCATGCCTGGCTAATTTTTGTATTTTTAGTAGAGATGGGGTTTTACCATGTTGGCCAGGCTGGTGTCCAACTCTTCACTTTTTTTTCTTTTTCTTTTTTTTTTTTTAAAGTATTAACAGCCCTATTCTTCCCGACAGTCCTATCACCCTTAGCTTACTCTCTTTTTCTTTATAGCATATGTCACCGTAAGATCCATGAAGGCAGGGACTTGGTCTGTTTTGTTTCACAACTGTATTCTGAAGTGTCCTGCTCATAGTAGGAACAAAATTTTTGAATGTTCAATGCATTTATAGACATTAAAGGAAAGGCAAGTGGAATTTTTATTGTTTTTGAGACAGGGTCTCACTCTGTCATCCATGCTGGAGTACAGCAAATGGAATTTTTAAAAGTCACCTATTTAGCCTAGTTTCCCCCTTTATTTCTTCAGTTGCCTAACAGCCTAGAAATACTGACCCCTAACAAAGAACTATAAAACTTCTCATTTTAAAAGTCTAGTCCAACCCTTCATTTCATTGATGGTGAAATTAAGTCCTAGAGATGTTAGCTGTTGTCTCTGAAGTTATGGCCAGTTAATTAGTGGTACAGTTAAGACCAGAATCTAGATCTCTTAAATCTCAGTTGCTTTTTTTTCATTAGTCTGTGATAACCTTAATATGAGACCAAACTTAGAGTCAGTTCCCTATGGAAACAAAGCAGCTAAAACTAAATATATCAGTGAGCAGAAATGGAAATAGATATAAGTAGATTGGTGATAGTCAAAGCAGTGAAACCTGATGATTCAATTCAAACTTCCCCCCACTGGTCATTATAATATAATTTATGTTTATTATGAAATAAGTAAACATTGAGGAATGTGTTTGTTGTATTTAGTGTGTTTTTTTTGTTTTGTTTTTTACCTCAGGTGCACATGAACTTGAACAGATGCAGCTGATTTTAGAATCTATTCCTGTTGTACATGAGGAAGATCGTCAGGAGCTTCTCAGCGTAATTCCAGTTTACATTAGAAATGACATGACTGAGCCACACAAACCTTTAACTCAGCTGCTTCCAGGAATTAGTCGAGAAGGTATTGTGACACGAGAGTGGCCCTCACATTCATGCCTGTGTGTGAAGTAGAAATCTGTGTAGGGAGCTGGAACTTTTTATCCTTAGATATGGGGCTTTCTCCCAAATAGTCTTTTTATACTTAAGGTGTACCTAAAACTTCGACTCTCATCTCCCTTTTTTTTTTTGTCCTGGTGCTTAGGCTACGATCGGTTTTTTTGTTCCTCTGAATTACTTTCCAGAGCAAGTAGCAAGTATTTTGAATATAGGCACTAGCGGCAAAACCATGATGGCATTTTTTCCTCAGATATACTTGTAACTCCTATAAATGCCTGGATAAAGAGAAAGCTGCTGTGTTTCATTTCAGCAGATTTTGCAGGCTTTTCAGTAGTTCCACATTCTTAACCAGTCTTTGAGTCTGTCTTCACAAATTCCATTGCTAGCTTCCTTTCTCGTAACCCTGTAGCCACTGTCACAACATCCCTGTTCATAACTAAATAAGTCCTTTGTGGGAACACTTTTTTATTTTTATTTTTTATTGAAAAATAGAGACAGGGTCTTCACTGTGTTGCCCGGGCTGGTCTTGAGCTCCTGAGCTCGAGCATCCCTTCCGCCTCAGCCTCTGAAAGTGGTAGTGTTACAGGTATAAGCCACCACACCTGGCCAAGGAGCACTTTTAAAATGCAAACTAGCAATTTCGAATTGGGAGGTGCAGTGGGGAACAGGGTGGGTGTCTGCATACCCTCTGCAGGTGTGGCTCTGCTCAGCCATAACCCGGGTCCACTTTAGAGTCATCGTCATTTATTGCTGAGTCTCACCAAGAGGATGGTGCTGTTGAAGCATTTGTAACCTTGCTGTATAATGCTATTTGAATCTTTTTCATACCCTCCTTAGGGTGGGGACCATGTTTTAACTTTGAACTAAACTGAATATTTGGCCAGTGACTGGGATTAACCATTGAGCAAAGATCCTTGGTCACATGTGGCAGCACTGTGCCTGCAAGCAAGTGAACGCAGAGTGGATGGAGTTTCTGAGACTAAAGATTTATTAATTATACGCTCCATACTACTTTCTTCTTAACAGTGGAGTTTTATTTTGGGACAGAGCACATTCTGAGGCAGTGGCAACTTGGTAAAAAGAATACATGTTCTCACCCCACACTCTATGATCTTTGAAGGAAAAAAGCAAACAGGATTAAGTACATCTGAGTGAACCTAGAAGACTCCTAGGAGCCCTACTCTGGTTAATTTCCCTCAATACTTACCTTTCATCCTCCCTTTCTGTGGTTTACCGTACATTTCTCTATCTTAGCATGCTTCAGCACCATTGTAGCATTCTTGTAGTCCTGGCTGCTCGGGAGGCTGAGGCAGGAAGATCCCCTGAGCCCAGGAGTTCAAGGCTACAATAAGCTGTGATCATGCCATTGTACTCCAGCCTGGGCAACAGAGCAAAGACCCTGTGTCTTAAAATTCTCTTTTTAAAGAAAAGAATGGGTTCTTTCTAGAGTACAGGTTGGCTTGAGAGAGAAAGGCCATCTTTCTCACTTAGAAGGCAAGGATAAGAGGATGTGTGAGTGACCATAGTGAAGAAGTATAAGGATTGAGACAAATACGAAGTGGGTTTATCTGTTGAGAATGATAAAGAAGACTGGAGTATAAAGAGAAGGCCAGATAGCAAAGGTCACAATGAAATTGTTTAGTATGAATTTGTAATGAGCCAGATATGGGATATTGCAGCTAGTTTTCATCTGTTGTGTGTGGCCAGAGAGTAGATGGTGGTGATGATCCAGGGTTGAAGGTCAGTATCATAAGGCATAGAAGTGTGTGACTGGTGTAAATACAGCTTTCAGGCTGCGTGAGGAGCTAAGGAAGGCCTACTAGCCTGTTTTATTGGAAGAATTGGATTTGTGGTTAACCAGAGTCCTAAATAAAACCAGAGTTTTATTTCTGACAAATTAACTTTTTAATTGTGTAGTCTATTTTTCCCCTTTATAAGATGGGGACCTGTTAGTACAATTAAGATGCTCATTTCCTGTTGTGTAGTATGAAGTGCTAAGGGAATCACTTAGCTAGTCATTTAAATAAATGAGATCAACATTTGCTGTTTTTCTAAAGGTAAGCAGTTCTTTTCTCAAAAACTTTTACCTTTTCTTCTGCAGCACTGGATTTCCTGGAACAAATTTTGACATTTAGTCCCATGGATCGGTTAACAGCAGAAGAAGCGCTCTCCCATCCTTACATGAGCATATATTCTTTTCCAATGGATGAGCCAATTTCAAGCCATCCTTTTCATATTGAAGATGAAGTTGATGATATTTTGCTTATGGATGAAACTCACAGTCACATTTATAACTGGGAAAGGTAAAGTGATCCTAAATTAGAAAAATATTTACTGAACTTTCAATGGACTGTATGTAGTGAGTTTTCTAATATTATATATAAGACAATGTAGAAGTCTTAAAAATTTAGTACTGTAAAAATACAAAAATTAGGTGTGGTGGCGGGCGGGTGCCTGTAGTCCTAGCTACTTGGGAGGCTGAGGCAGAAAAATCACTGGAACCCAGGAGGCAGAGGCTGCAGAGATCATACCACTGCATTCTAGTCTGGGCAATAGAGCGACACTCCATCTCTTTTTTTTTTTTTTTTTTTTTGAGACGGAGTCTTGCACTGTCACCCAGGCTGGAATGCGGTGGCGTGATCTCGGCTCACTGCAAGCTCTGTCTCCCGGGTTCACGCCATTCTCCTGCCTTAGCCTCCTGAGTAGCTGGGACTACAGCTACCCGCCACCATGCCCAGCTAGTTTTTTTTTTTTTTTTTTTTGTATTTTTAGTAGAGATGGGGTTTCACCATGTTAGCCAGGATGGTCTAGATCTCCTGACCTCATGATCCACCTGCCTCAGCCTCCCAAAGTGCTGGGATTACAGGGTTGAGCCACCATACCCGGCCTAGAGCGAGACTCCATCTCAAAAAGAAAAATTTAGTAATGATCCTTAAATAGCCGTTAATTTAAATATTTAATAAAGTAATTACTGGTTAGATGATACATGATGGGAAAAGTTAAATGCTACTTTGGGCCGGGCGTGGTGGCTCACGCCTGTAATCCCAGCACTTTGGGAGGCCGAGGTGGGCAGATCACAAGGTCAGGAGATCGAGACCATGGTGAAACCCCGTCTCTACTAAAAATAGAAAAAATTAGCCGGGCGCAGGGGCGGGCGCCTGTAGTCCCAGCTACTCGGGAGGCTGAGGCAGGAGAATGGCGTGAACCCAGGAGGCGGAGCTTGCAGTGAGCCGAGATTGCGCCACTGCACTCCAGCCTGGGCGTCTCAAAAAAAAAAAAAAAAAAAAAATGCTACTTTGAAACATTTTCAAAGTCATTAAGGCATATTTAGTAAATAAAATTATAAAGTCCTTAAACTGTGAAGGTTGGAAGTGAATCATTTTATGAATGTCAGAACAATTTAAGATGTTAGATGACAAGACTCAATCATATCCAATAAAATATCTCCAGTGTCTCAGTGGTAGTTACATCTTAAGATAAATATTATTTTTGACTAATGTTAGATGCAGTTTTTTTTGTTTTGTTTTTGAGATGGAATCTCACCCAGGCTGGAGTGCAGTGATGCGATCTTGGCTCACTGTCCTGCCCCAGCCTCCTGAGTAGCTGGGATTACAGGCACCCGGCTGATTTTTAGTAGAGGTGGGGTTTTATGTTGGCCAGACTGGTCTCGAACTCCTGACCTCAGGTGATCTGCCTGCCTTGGCCTCCCACAGTGCTGAAATTATGGGCGTGAGTCGCCATACTCAGCCAGTATTTGAATCTATTTTCCTAATGACAAAATTAATTTGGGGACACTTAACAGAGGTTCAGTAAAAGGGACTTTTTGAAGTCTAAACATTAGTGTATAATTTGATGTTTCATAAAGTGAAAGAATTGGATTTCTAGGGAAGTTTGGCTGGGCACGGTGGCTCATGCCTGTAATCCCAGCACTTTGCAAGGCCAAGGTGGGCCAATTACCTGCGGTCAGTAGTTCGAGACCAGCCTGGTTAACACAGTGAAACCCCGTCTCTACTGAAAATACAAAAATTAGCCAGGCTTGGTGGCAGGGACTTGTAGTCCCAGCTACTCAGGAGGCTGAGGCAGGAGAATCACTTGAACCTGGGAGGCGGCAGTTGCAGTGAGCTGAGATTGCGCCACTGCACTCCAGCCTGGGCAACAGAGTGAGACTCTGTCTCAAATAAATAATAAATACATTTCTGGGAAAGTTTAGATATAATTCTGCTTCAGAGTAGGATGGTAGCTTAGAGTCATCAGGTGATTTTGATGTATGGCCAGGTTTGGGAACCACTAATGACAATCTTAAGATTTTTTTTTTTTTTTTTTTTTTGAGACGGAGTCTTGCTCTGTCACCCAGGCTGGAGTGCAGTGGCCGGATCTCAGCTCACTGCAAGCTCCGCCTCCCAGGTTTACGCCATTCTCCTGCCTCAGCCTCCCGAGTAGCTGGGACTGCAGGCGCCTGCCACCTCGCCCGGCTCGTTTTTTGTATTTTTTAGTAGAGATGGGGTTTCACGGGGTTAGCCAGGATGGTCTCGATCTCCTGACCTTGTGATCCGCCCGTCTCGGCCTCCCAAAGTGCTGGGATTACAGGCTTGAGCCACCGCGCCCGGCCAGTTTTTCAGAAGAAATTTTTTTCCTCCTCCTCAAATATTGAGGTATTGGTATGGTATGTTTGCACAAATCTACAAACTATTTTTTCTCTCCATGTGTCCATTTCCACCCCCTAAATATGGTTCTTTTCTGAGACGGAGTCTCACTCTGTTGCCCAGGCTGGAGTGCAGTGGCGCCATCTCTCTGTTCACTGTAACTTCCTGAGTTGAAGCAGTTCTCCTGCCTCAGCCTCCCTAGTAGCTGGGACTACAGGTGTCCGCCACCATGTTCAACTAATTTTTGTATTTTTAGTAGAGATGGGGTTTCACCATGTTGGCCAGGCTGGTCTCAAACTCCTGACCTCAAGTGGTCTGCCCACCTCTGAAGTGCTAGAATTGCAGGCATGAGCCACTGCACCTGGCCTGCATTTTCTATTATACCTAGCTAAGTCATCTAATCTCTCTTCTTTTCCCTCAATGATTGTACATGTCAGTAATAGGATAGCACATTCAGTAACACATATACACAGGGAGATTTTTGCTATTCATGGTGATGAGTTTTCCAGCAAACCTCTTCTAGTTGCCCTTACTGTAAACATTTGTAAGGTACCTGATTGAGATTCGAGATGTGCATTTTGTGTCCATGAAGTCTTTTGTTTGCATGAAACTGGTGGACAAAAAACAAATTGAAAATAAATGAGAATTGGTCTTATTTCAGAATGGAAGACTCAGTTCCTCATGAAGTTACATACTTCATTGGCAATTACCAAATATGTTAACAGAGCTTACCTATCAAGACTAAGTTTTGGTAGGGCAAGGCAGGCATACGACTTTATTCTCCTATAATTATCCCCTCATAGACCTAGCACAGTGCTGTCACATAAAAAGTACTCGGTGAATTTGAAAATGAAATCATATACGTGGAATAACACTAGTGTATTGATTTTTTTCAGGTATCATGATTGTCAGTTTTCAGAGCATGATTGGCCTATACATAACAACTTTGATATTGATGAGGTTCAGCTTGATCCAAGAGCTCTGTCCGATGTCACTGATGAAGAAGAAGTACAAGTTGATCCCCGAAAATATTTGGATGGAGATCGGGAAAAGTATCTAGAGGATCCTGCTTTTGATACCAGTTACTCTACTGAGCCTTGTTGGCAATACTCAGATCATCATGAAAACAAATATTGTGATCTGGAGTGTAGCCATACTTGTAACTACAAAATGAGGTCGTCATCGTATTTAGATAACTTAGTTTGGAGAGAGAGTGAAGTTAACCATTACTATGAACCCAAGCTTATTATAGATCTTTCCAATTGGAAAGAACAAAGCAAAGAAAAATCTGATAAGAAAGGCAAATCAAAATGTGAAAGGAATGGATTGGTTAAAGCCCAGATAGCGCTAGAGGAAGCATCACAGCAACTGGCTGGAAAAGAAAGGGAAAAGAATCAGGGATTTGATTTTGATTCCTTTATTGCAGGAACTATTCAACTTAGTTCCCAACATGAGCCTACTGATGTTGTTGATAAATTAAATGACTTGAATAGCTCAGTGTCCCAACTAGAATTGAAAAGTTTGATATCAAAGTCAGTAAGCCAGGAAAAACAGGAAAAAGGAATGGCAAATCTGGCTCAATTAGAAGCCTTGTACCAATCTTCTTGGGACAGCCAGTTTGTGAGTGGTGGGGAGGACTGTTTTTTCATCAATCAGTTTTGTGAGGTAAGGAAGGATGAACAAGTTGAGAAGGAAAACACTTACACTAGTTACTTGGACAAGTTCTTTAGCAGGAAAGAAGATACTGAAATGCTAGAAACTGAGCCAGTAGAGGATGGGAAGCTTGGGGAGAGAGGACATGAGGCAGGATTTCTGAACAACAGTGGGGAGTTCCTCTTCAACAAGCAGCTTGAGTCCATAGGCATCCCGCAGTTTCACAGTCCAGTTGGGTCACCACTTAAGTCAATACAGGCCACATTAACACCTTCTGCTATGAAATCTTCCCCTCAAATTCCTCATAAAACATACAGCAGCATTCTGAAACATCTGAACTAAAACACTCAGCAGACATTTGTCTTTGTATTCATGAAATGTGTTTTGTCTTTTTTTATTACTAGTGTTTAAGTCATTTTTTACTTGAATCAGATGGTGTCATTTAGTAAGGATTTTATGAGTTCCTTGGTTTTTAAAATCCAGACTTTCTTTTTCTACATGTGAGAGTTTTCATTTTAACTGGCATGTCATTTGCACACAAAAATAAAGACTAGAGCAAAATAATGCAGGAGGAGAAAAGAAATGCACTAAGACAAGTAAAGAACATTCTCTCATAGAACAATGATCTGTTTTACAGGAAACAAACCTTGCCTTGAAATTTACACAGTGAGACTGTACATAATTGCATGAAAATAGCTATTTTTTTCCTAAGACATTTTTCATTCATGAGTATTTTCAAGTTTTTCATACTGTACACATTTCTTAAAACACATGATACCAGCAGCAACTGAAAATGAATGCCGAATTTGGTACACATGTGTTATCTACCTCAAGGTAACAAGAGTATGTGGCAAAACATATACCACCCATAGTGCTTCACAAAATGCACTTCTATTTAGCCAGCGTTTATTGTAGTAAACTATTCTTAATAAAACTCATTCACTGTTTATAAATGTTCTGATATGCATTCTTTATAGTGAAGTGTTAATACATCACATCTTATTTATTTTAGCAAATCAGTATATTTTCTGTATTTAATTATAAAAATTAACTTAGTTTTTAAAATTTATTTGCAAATACACTTTTTCCATTTGGCACTATGGTTTGTTGCCTACCTAGCTGAATCTATAATGTCAGCTTATCCTAAGGCTGTCCACGTACTTAATTTACTTAAGTGTTCATTTTAAGTAACGTGCTCACTGTGTATAGGAATTTGTATTTTGGAGGTGCTTGATCTATCTACAAAGAAAAATTAATTAGGAATTACTTTATTATAAAATGCTCCTAGAAGTCTTAATTGTGTTTATTTTTTAAAAAAAACGAATGTTAGACTTGTGTGCATGGAAGTAATTAAGGTACATCATTATTGTAGTTTAAAAGTTGTACATGATAAGACATTTTGTTTTTACTGTATGTTTTTACTGAATGATCTATTCCCCATCCCAAGGCAAGCATGAATAAAATTAGGTTAAACGTAGCATGTGGCATCGCAGTCTCTTAGAATTTGTTTCATCTATTTTATTTTATTGAATACTGTCTGTATCTTTGGTTATCCTGTTTGAAGAAAAAGGACAAATAAAACATGGCCAGCAAATACGGCTCCTGTTTCACTCTTGGATTAATGAAAATTTTCTGCTAGAATGAAAATTACTACCAGAATCACTTTGAATTATGGCTATAAATTGCTAGTCTGAAAGGCTGAGAAGGTTGAAGTCTTTTGACTTAAACCATCACACATTAGAATGGAATAAGGCTTTATAGTATTTCAAAACTGTTAGGTAAAATGTGTAGTTGAATCTTTGAACTGTGCAGTCAGAGAAAACTTGAGAAGTATTTGCTCCGTAATACATCTTTGCTTATGAACTTACCCTTGTACCCATCCAGCTATAAAACCATCCTCACTTTTCTTTCATCCTTGTTCTGTACAACACCGATTCTGTGAATATCTGCCCGCCTACCTTCTCAAAGCCATGTGTATAGATATATATTTTTTTGTTTTCTGGTTGAATACTGTCCACGTTATGAATTTAAACATAGATTACCTTAAGAGGACAAGCTCTGAAGTGCAGTCATGAGAATTGATTTGTGGGGCGGGGGGAAATGGGACACTTGTAGTTGGATCTGGGTGGGGTGACAAGTGTGGAGGCTTTGAGTGTCATAAGAGCATCAGACAGGAGGTAAAGGAAGCAACGGGCAGCAGACATTGGTCCCTGATCCTCCATTATAACCATTTTTTTTGCAAATCTATGTTCATTTTGAGGATAATTAGCTTTGACTCAAATGCTGTCTTCCCTGAAGGAGGCCTAGGATTTTTCTTACTGGGAAACTTGGCTCCTGGGCTTAATCCACATTTGTTACTGTCACCTTGGCAGTTTAGTGGCCATCTACACAATGATCTGACTTGTTGGCATTAAAAAGTCAAAACATAGTCATCAAAGAAAAAAAGTAAAACTGAAACCGCTTATATAAAATATGCTTGCTTTAGGGTGACCCAGGCTGAATACTAAGTATTGTAAAGTCAAATTTGCAATAAAAATTTTATGTGCCATTTACTTTGTCCCCACTTGGAATCAAAGTATCTTTATAGGGTAATGAAGATGAAACACTCAAAAGAGACAAGGTCTTGCTCTGCCACCCAGGTTGAAGTGCAGTGGCGTGATCACAGCTCACTGAACCTTGAACCTAGGCTCAAGTGATCCTCCCACCTCAGCCTCTTGAGTACCTAGGAGTAGCTGACACCTTTGTCAAAGGTCATTTGACCATATAGATGAGAATTTATTTCTGGGTTCTCTACTCTGAGACAGGGTCTTAACTCTGTGGCCCAGGCTGGAGTGCAGTGACACGATCATAGCTCACTGCAACCTTGACTTCTCAGGCTCAGGCAATCCTGCCTCAGCCTCCTGAGTAGCTGGAGCCACAGGCATGAGCCAACATGCCCAGCTAGTTTTTAAATTTTTTTTTTTATAGTTCTTTTAAAATGTGTTTATAGAGACAGGGTCTCCACATGTCACTCAGGCTGGTCTTAAACCCTGGGCTCAAGCAATCTTCCTCAGCCTCCCAATGTGCTGGAATTACAGGTGTGAGCCATTGTGCCTGACTGTAAAGCATTTTTTTCTGACATGAGTATGGCCACCCCTGCTCTTTCTATCATTTAGCCTGATAGCTTTAGTTTTAATTGCTACGCCACAACATATTTTTTTAAATGACATCTTCCAAAATTTTGCTTCTACCAACATCTTTGCAGTGAGAATTCTTGTGAACATGTGTAAGAAAGAGTATCTTTAGGGCAGATAACCTAGTAGAGTAGAGTTATCTAGTGGAGTAACTCTATCCTAGTGGAGTAGAGTTGCAACATATCTTCAAATCTATGAAGATGCCATATCCCTGTCCAAAAGTGATTGTACTGACTCACATTCCTGCCAGCAGTGCACAAGAGTTCCTATTCATCCACACGCCTCCAAACAAGAAACCAAGTTTCTTCCACTGAATTAATCCTACCAGCTTTGCAATGTTCAGTTTACAGTAGGAATCAGGATGTCTAATTCCAAACAACTGCATGGCTGGAAATCATGACTACACCTTAGGGATCCTTACGTAGCCACTTCAATATGAGCTCGCCTTGTTTCTCATTTCCCACTGCTGCAGCCACTGCAGCTTGGGAACAGAGGCTTTAAATCTTAAAGGCTGAGCCAATTATGTAATTATAGTGGGAGCCTTATCTAAGGAGAAGTAGATAATGAATCAAATAGGGTTTTCAAATAAAATCCAAGGAAATATCACCTTTGCTTCTCAGTTAAGACACCTATATAGTACTGCTTATGAAATTATCATTTTATTTGCAGGTACTGTTTTCCATTCAATGCTTTGGTGTGTTTTATATAGAGCACATTTAGTTAGTGGTCTAGTCAGCAAGTGGACAGTTGTCTGAACCGCTGACCTGCTCCCAGCCTTTTCAGTACCTGCTTACTATTGAGTTAAAAGCCAATAGAGACTCTACCCTAAGTAGGTCCATCATGTATGGCGTATTAGTCAATTGCAGTTTTACCTGATGCCTCTCCATGTGAGCATTGTTTATCATTCAGATCCTAGTACCTTCTGAGTAGAGGAGAAAGAAGATTGAACTGGAAATCAGGAGATCCGAGTTCTGGACCCAGTTTTACCACTGACTGTCCGTCACTTGGGTGTCACGATCTTGGTGAGCCTAAGTTCCTTATTAAACTAGAAAAGCATATTATTCGAGCCTGACCTGAAACAACTTCTGAACCAGACAGTGTCTTATTTAATTCTAACCCATCATAATAGCACAGCGATTAGCTCTTGCCAGGATGTGCTTGCTTATAGATCTTATTTCTGTATTATCTTTATTGAACTGGCTGCATTAAATGTGCCTTTTAAGCAGCCTGAGAATGAAATTTTGTGTTTAGTGCATCCTTACCAGTTGATAGGTAGAGAAAAAGGCAAAAGTATTGGAACGCCAGGGTTGTTTGCCTTTGAAAGAGCAATGTAAACTCAGGAAGCTCTTTCCTGTAGGATCTAGGGCAGTCTCCTTAAGTAAGCCAGGTGAAGAGAAGGATCTTTGTGAGCTCTTTCAACATAGATTCCAACCTCTATGTAACAAATATCTTACAGAAGGGGAAGGGTGTTTGATCGTCCACATTAGAGCACTGTTTCAGTTATAATGCAGAGGTCTAACAAAGAAATTCCACTGGATTCACATGTTTATCTGAGTATAATACAGTGGTAGTGTCACAAACCTAGCTAAGCAGAATACTGACTTTCCATTACAATTGTCAGCCTCTGCAACATCTTGCCTAATTAGGTCTTAGTGCTGTTGTAGTTGGGTGAGTGGGAACGCTGGTGCCAGATTTGAGATGCTGCTCCCAGTCTCCTGGTTCAAAGTCCAGTCCAAGCCTGTTTCTTCATGCCTAATGTAAACCACAAACTTGGAGCCATGTCTGTACATTTAGACTCTGCTTCCACCTGGACTTACCAATCCCACACCCTCCTGACTTGAACCTCTGAGGCAACCTCTGCTGCCAGCTGGTACATTGAACCTTGCAGCATTGCATAGTGTTTAGGCACACATGCTGCAGAGTCAGATCCAATCAAAGCTTAAAACTGTTCTTCTGCTTACAAGCCTTGTGGCCTTGGAGAGGTTATTCAACCTTTTGATTTTCCTCATTTGTCAAGTAGAGCTAATGATACCTAATTCGTAGAGTTGTAAAAATTCAATGAGATACTGTACACACAGGCTTTTTAGCATGATGCCTGGTACTTTTTTTTATTTTTCTTTTTGAGATGGAGTCTCGCTCTGTCGCCCAGGCTGGAGTGCAGTGGTGTGATCTTGGCTCACTGCAAGCTCCAGCCCCCGGGTTCACGCCATTCTCCTGCCTCAGCCTCCCGAGTAACTGGGACTATAGGCACCCGCCACCACGCCTGGCTAATTTTTTGTATTTTTAGTAGAGACAGGGTTTCACCATTCACAGGATGGTCTCCATCTCCTGACCTTGTGATCTGCCTGCCTCGGCCTCACAAAGTGCTGGGATTACAGGCTCACGTGAGCCACTGCGCCTGACCAATGCCTAGTACTTAATAAATCACCATTGCACTTGTCCTGTTTGAATTACTGCCCACTGCCACCCAAATTGTACTGAACACTGGATTCTGACCTTGACACTGCCTTCAGTATTGCATTCTCCTATCAATCTAAACTTCTGGCCTTGACCTACAGATGGCTTCTCGCTCTAGCCATAGTACCCACCAGCTCTATCCCACTTTTGGCTCCAGCTTCTGGTCCTTTCTCACCAGCCAAACCCTTACACAAACGAATTCAGTGAAGCAGCTCTCAGACTCCAAAAGACTAGACTGAGCCCACCAGTCTTCAATTGCTTCCCCCACCCCACCCCCTAGAACAAGCATCTTCATTTAGAAGCCAAAAGCCTTGGAGTCACTTTACAGTCCTTTCTCTGAAAACTCACATCCAATCCATCGATGAATCCCATGGCCGTATCCAGAATCTGACCCCTTTTCACCATCTCCATCGCTGCCCTGTGATCCAGTCCACCCTCCCAGGCTGCTGGACCATGCCTATTGCCTCCTAACTGGCCACCATGCAGTTTACAGTCAGTACAGCAGAGTGATCCTTGTAAGGCCTAAGTCAAACCACATCACTCCTCTAGTTTCTCAAAATTTGAATGATTCCCCTCCTGAGGGTAACTACCAGTGTCTTTACCGAGGCTCACAGGCACCTCTCCACTCCTCCCTCCTGTGCTCGCATGGGTCCAACAGCACTGGGCCACAGTTGCTGCCATCTTAGGCTTTCTGACATGCTCTTCTCACTGCCTTGAAAGCTCTTGGCCCAGAGAGCTGCATCACTCCCTCCCTCCCTCATTAGAAGTTTTGCTCAAATGTCACTTTATCACAGAGGCTGTGCCTGACCAATGTATATATAAAATAGCATGCATCCCATCAGTCATATGCCCCTGACCCGCTTGATTTTGCCTTCCAGCACATAACCACTGACATGGTATATCTTTATTTACAGATTGTATTCCCACGTTAGAATATAAGCTCCTTGAAGCAGGGACTTTGGCTCTA